GCCACACTTGAATAAATATGTCCATCTTCTCCTGATGATGTAATATATGTTTGTATACTTCTAATGGGATCTGTAATGTTCTGAATCCCCACATTCCATCTCTGTGCTACTCATTAGAAACATACATAAAAATATCGACGCCCAATGTATACCGACTTCTTACTTGTTAGTAGACATGACGACTTGTAGAGATGTAATGGTACCATCACATAATCAGAAAATTGGTACGGTCCTTTCCGAATATCATAAAATAAATGTAGGAAATCCTTTGATTAGGGATGGACTCGGGCCGAGCCAACCGGCCCGGAACCGGATCGGCCCGCTACTGTGCGGGCCCGGACCGGCCCGGTGAACCGGTTTGTGCCCGGTTCGGGCCACCCGGCCCGGTGGTATAGCGGTCCGGGCCCAGGCCTCCATTTTAATGAACCGGCCCGGCCCGGCCCGGCCGGGCCCGGTTCGGGACTCCAACGGTCATTTTTTTTATTTGTTAAGTGGCTTCTAGCTGTTGGGAGCATAGGAGGGGGGGTTAGGGGGGTGGGGTGGGGGTGGGGTATACAAAAAAAACTTATTTATACTCCTATTTTCTATACATTTTTTACACCTCTTCTTCTACAACTCTTCCTACTCTCTAATTCTCTACTCTCAATCTCTCATATTCAATCATCTTCATTCTTCATCTTCTCCAAATTCTTTCTACATATATATAATTTATATAATTATTATATCTACTTATATATTAATTATCTACTTATAAATATATACTTATACACATTCATATTATAATTCTTTACACATTATATATACTATATATACTATACACATTCATATTTACTTGATATTTAGTTATTATCCATACTATTGTTATTTACTTATATTTATATATTACATTTAGTTAATATATACTTATATATATATATATATATATATATATATATATATATATATATATATATTAAAGTATTAAGTATAAGTGTATTACTCATCTTATAGTAATATACTTATATATTATATACTATAAACATTATATTATATATTACTTATAATATATTTACACATTATATATACTATATATACTTATACACATTCATATTTATTTGATATTTAGTTTGTATCCATACTATTGTTATTTACTTATATTTACATATTACATTTAGTTAATATATACTTATATATATATATATATATATATATATATATATATATATATATATATATATATATATATTAAAGTATTAAGTATAAGTGTATTACTCATCTTATAGTAATATAATTATATATTATATACTATAAACATTATATTATATATTACTTATAATATATTTACACATTATATATACTATATATACTTATACACATTCATACATTTTATAAAAATAGTTAATTGTTAGACTTCTCATTTATCTATTAAATTAGTTAATTGTTACATTTCTCTACATTTTTCTTTAAAGAAAAAAAATAGTTAAAGTAGTATATTTTTACATTTGTCATATTAATATTAGTTAAAGTACTTAATTGTTTCATTTGTCATATTAATATTAGTTAATTGATACATTGCTCATTAAACTAAAAAAAACTAGTTAATTTTTACATTTGTCATAATAATATTAGTTAAACTAGTTAATTGTTACATTTCTCATATTAATATTAGTTACTTGCTACATTTCTCATTAAAGTAAAAAAGGTAGTAAATTTTTACATTTGTCACATTAATATTAGTTAAAGTATACATTTCTCATTAAGGTAAAAAGAACTAGTAAATTTTTACATTTGTCATTTTAAAAACTAGCTAAAGTAGTTAATTGTTAAATTTGTAATATTAATATTAGTTAATTGCTACATTTGTCATTAAGGTAAAAAACTAGTACATTTTTACATTTGTCATATTTATTTTAGTCAAACTACTTAATTGTTACATTTCTCATATTAATATTAGTTAATTGCTATATTGCTCATTAAAGTAAACAAAAAACTAGTTAATTTTTACATTTCTCATATTAGTTAGTTGCTACATTTCTCATTAAAGTATTAATTAGAAGTAGTTTGATTTTTATACTCATATTTTAGTTCGAATTTTTATACTCAAGAAATGACCATCGCTCCCACCCGCCACTTTTTGTAGGAAACAACCACCGAAGGCGGAGATTCCGATTGATTATTTATTACAAAATGTATTACATTTTTTAAATGCATCCTAATTCTCAATTGTACTTCTTATTTGAAATAAATATACTTGAATTATTTTATAATATTATGTACATCAATTCAATAATTCTCAAAAAAATGTATTCAATAATCAATTCAATAAAATTAATTTGTAAACTTTACTTCATATTTCAATAATTCTCATAAAATTTGTATTAATTTGTAAATTTGTAATCAATTCAAAATAATATTAATATGTAAATTAATTAATTGGTTACAAACTTACAAGTTACAACTTCAATATGTAATTTGTTTAAATACTTATACACCTATTTTGTAACATTTGTAAATTATAAATCAAATCACTTTTATAAGTAAAAATAGTTTTACTTAATTCATTAATTTATTAACTTATTTTACAATATGTATAATTTTCAAAAAAAAATTAAAACATTTTGAAATACAAAATTGCTCCCAAACGGCTATATAGCCGTTGGGGCTTAGGGTGGGGGGCAGGGGGTCCCGGGGGTGGTGGTGTGGGGGTGAGGTTCAAAAAAATCTATAAATACATCTATTTTCTACCATTTTTCTACACCTCTTATCCAACTCTTCTCCAACTCTTCTCCATCTTCATCTTCTCTTATTATCCTACATTTCTACTTATACATCTACCATTTTAAAGATGGAAAGTAATTCTTCTGTTATGCAAAACAATTTTGACAAGTGGAAGGACCCGAAGACCGGACTGTGGTGGGCAACTTGCAAGTGGTGCAAGAAAGAGTGTTGCTTGGGGCGTTCACACGGAGTCAGGATGCCAATAAAACATATGAAGTCATGTGACAAAGTCAAAACAACAACCAACGATGGCGGAAATCCCAATTGATATTTATTAGAAAATGTATTTCATATTGTTATTGTTTTCTCAATTCTCAAATGTACTTCCTATTTCAAATAAATGCACTTGAATTTTGTTTTTAATAAGAATTATTATAATAATATAATATATAATTTTTTTTAAAAAAAAATAGGCCCGGCCGGTTCACGGGCCTCCCAAACCTTGAACTGAGGCCCGGCCGGTTCACGGCCCGAATCGGGCCCGGCCCGAACCGGGTCCATCCCTACCTTTGATGCCAACATTCAACCATTTTCAACCGTATACTAGTATCCTCGGATGCAACCATCATCATCTCCATTACCTGAGTGTCACAAAGATCCCTCCTATGGTAAGGTAAGAGGGTCGGATGTTCGTAGCCATAAACTTGTACTACAATATGGAGAGAATGTTTCCGATGATCCGTAGTGAAATTGCATCCAAAAAATTGTATGGACTACCTGTGTTTCATAACAATAAAGCGCAGTCAGTTTAGTGAGTTATTTTGCTTTAGTTAATCATATTCTCAAGTCAAAAATAGTGAGTCCTTGATTCCATTGTAAATGATGGAAAATATCCTTGGATGCAATATGTTGACATAACACAAAGAGATAAAATCAAAATAACTGTTAAAGTCCCTATCAGTGATTATGTTAGGACTACTATCATGAAAGTAATAGTTAAATTTATATTCACATGTAGATGCATGAGTTTAGATGAATTATCAATGTAACAAAGCAAAACATTATGCAATTTTGATTTTCATAGTTAAATGTATTGAGCTTTGGCCATTGATATATTTATAAAATCCGATTCGATACAATACAATATGTACATTATATCGTATATATAATATTATATATACAAAATTATATGTGCACATGTGTATATATGTGTGTTTATCGTAGTAACATCCGTGACTACGATTGGTTCAATTCTACAATATGGTAATATTTTTTTCTTAAATTATCATACTTCTCTTAAAACTTGGTCAAGTTTACCGGCACATAAATTAATAAAGTAAAAATTGCACGATTGAGATTGTGCAAATGGGAGAGAATTATCTAAAAAGGTAAAGTGACAAAGTTATTGAGACAACTAAAAAAGTAAAGTTTGCAAAGTTTTAAAGGACGAATGAATTAGAATTTTAGTAATGTAGTATTTTAGTACTTTGTAATATTTAAGGGAAAATCTCATATATTAAGGGATTAAGTGATTTTTTTTCAATATATTTGACTTGAAACAAATTATTTTACAGTTTTCTCATGATTAACTGAGTCTAAATAATCCTTAGTTTTTACTATTCTTTATATTGCCTTAGATTGGATATTGATTTTTTGCAAAAAAAACTTTCACAGGGCGAATATTCATTTATCTTCCAAAAAACTTCATCTAAACTCACTAAGAATTAGATATTGAGACATCCACTTCCAAAGAATCAACCCAAATCATTGATCACCATGACCCCAAACGTACAATATAGAGTTTAAACTCTTAAGGTCAACATACTTTTTCTCACTTTTGATTCATGAATTATTATTTTATTGACACTGTTACTATTCGATTTTGATTTTTTCACTTGTGAACCTTCAACTATTGTGTTAAAAATGTCTTTGGTACACGTGTTTGAAATTTTACATATTTACTCCTACTTTTATAAAAGTGGTGTTTTTGTTTAGTCCTTCAACTATTATAATGATGACTTTTTCAGTCTTACATATTTTGTGTCAAAATTATAATTGAAAAGATAAAAGTGTCAATTTGAAAATACTTCCAGATTAAATGTGAGAAACATGGAAAGTGAAGAATATTTCTCGCATAATAGTAAAAAAAAAAACTAAAAAAGGGGAAATTTAAAAATCAAAGAATAAATCTTGACTATAAGAGGAACCATATTGTCACGTCTAGCTTTTAATAATGTCCCACGCGCTGACTTCTTTGAGAACATCGAGTGCGTGAATTATTTATTGATATTTTAGCATAAGAAAGATAATGCATAAAAAATTCGGAGCAATTAATACGGAGTAATAACAAATTGACTTTCGAGAAGGATGAAGTCTGCTTTCCCTTTTCTGAAGGCATTCATTCATCATTACCTTACTTGATCGTCGCTATTACCAGAAATACTCTCTCCCTCTCTTGCTCTCTCCGGTTAGTCTCCTACGGTTAGAAAGCGGAGTAAATCTCTACTAGAATCTTCGGTGATTGAGACAGAGGAGGAGGAGTAAGAAGAACATCACTGGAAATGGAAAGAAACGTGGTAGTAGTATGCTCCGTTGCGGGATTCCTAGGGCTTTTATCTGCTATTGCCGGATTCGCAGCTGAAGCCACGAAAATTAAGGTACTTATCGATCGAATCTCAGTGATTGCTTTCTGTATGCACACGCAGATAAGCTTCAATTAGTTCAATCTACTTCAGTAAATGCTTGTTTGGTTTCTGTGTATTTGGTCCTTCACTCGGTTGTATTTTTGAGTCCATTTCGCTTACTTCTCAGGTCCGCTTAGTTTGACTAAATAAGGTATATATATAATCTAGAGAATTTTTCTTTTCTTTTATCGCTCCCCATTCTTTTAAGATTTATGTTTCTTAATACTACGACTAATAATCTAGAAAATCACTGCAAAGAATTCAGTATTGGTTTGGATTAATTTGGTTGTTGGAAATGAAATGGATTACTAAGAATTGGATTATTGAAATTTAGATGAAAAGACAGTTGGTATAATGAGAGTTCAGTCAATTCCACGGAACCACTCAAAAGTCAATGGTTCATTGAAAGCATTCGATGAGCTCTTATTTTAGGAATTGACAAAAGCAGGACAATTCCTCAATTCCTTGGTTTCCCTAATCTGCTAATCTAAAGGTGTGCATCACACCTCATTAAAGGAAATTGGAATAAGGGGATTTACGTGGATTACAAGTCAATCCAAAGGAGGCCTAAATTACCACAGGAGAGTGTTCAAGTCTGTCAAGACCATGGTTAAGTTGTCAAAAAGACGAGAAAAAAGCTTGTTAAGTGGTGTGGGGACCGTAGGCTATGAGATAAACCGGCGAGACCAAGTTTTAGGCCTTGCAAGTGTGGGCGTGTAAAACCTTTTTACTTGTAATTGTTTAAATTATTCATTCTTTAATGACACACAAATACAGATGTCAATATCTAACAAACTCTAGACAAGGTTTATATACTTTTCAACTTTAGAATGAAAAACATATTTTTCTCTAGTACCAAAAATATAAAGGGAAAATGGAAACTAATAATCCAACCTTTTAGCGGTCTTCTTACAATAGTCCCACCTTTTGATTATTCATGAATAATACAACCTTTGCACCTCATCTTCATTCACTGGTCCTTGACCGGTTGATGACCTACTATTCCAAGTTATTTTCTTATCTTTGCAAACCATTATACCATAAATCTCACCTTTCACAAAGATAATATTTTGCAAAGATAAGAAAATAACTTGGAATAGCAGGTCATCAACCGGTCAGGGACCAGTGAATGAAGATGAGGTGCAAAGGTTGGATTATTCATGAATAATCAAAAGGTGGGACTATTGTAAGAAGACCGCTAAAAGATTGGATTATTAGTTTTCATTTGTCAGTTCCCCAAATATAAATACATAATAAAATTTGTCAGTTCTTAGTATTCCATCCTTCCAAGTTTGAATATCCTATTATTATATTGAGATAAGAATGAATATATTTTTTACCATATTTTGTACAAGCAATACCATATTTTACGGCCTGTTTGGATGGAATGTTGTGAGGTGTTAGTAATGGAAGTGTTAGTAGGTGTTGGCAGGGGCCCGAAAGAGGAAGTAAGTGTAAGTGTTAAACATAATCTTACCTTGCTTGGGAGAGTTAAAAAATGAAGTGTTAGTAATGGAAGTGTTTTCACTTAGATTGACAAAAATATCCTCATACCTTTAAATTAGGAGTATTATTAAATATCCGTAATTGCATGTTTTTCAAACGGTATATACGCTACTTAAAATTTGCTATTGTATGTGTTCTTCTGTTAAGATAATACCAATTCTAAAACAAGATTTTCATCCTCCGATCTGTTAAGAAAATTCCAGAGTATCCATCCATCCTATGCTAACAAGATTTTCATTTGAGCCATTCAATTACTTTAAAAATGAAACCCAAAGAAACAAGCAGTGATTATAGGCATCAATCTCATCAACAAATTCCTGGACTGAATTCCATTAGAATTCAGCCTTCAAATCTCACTAATCATTAATAGCAAGGACTGAATGCATACGTATACGTATATATGTAGCAATGAATGAATGAACAACCTCTAACAGAGCTGTGATTTCATAATAAACGAGATAAACATGGGAATTGAGAGGCCTTTGACATCTTTATTAGGAATAAAGTTGACTCACGAATTTTTTTGCAGAAATATAATAACAATTATCAACTTGATCAACATATAATAAAAATTTGCAGAAATATAATACTAGTATAATCTTACAGCCTATTGTTCTATATGTGAGATTGGAAGCATCGAAAAAGATGAAAAAGAATTGAGGGAAAAAAGAGAGACGAACTTGGAGAAAGTAAAATATCTCTGCAGCGTAAGAAGAATAGCAGCAAGAACGTCCCAGATGGTCAGATTTAAAAATAAAAAGGGTAAGAGTTGTCCAACACTTCACTACACCCCAAATTGGGGTGTTAAAAAAGTGATAAATATAGGTGTTATGAAGGTTATGGTTAACACCCTCAAAACTTTCTAACACTTCTAATTTTTTTTAATTTTCCTCCCAAACGAGTGTTGAACTAAACACTCCTTAACACTTCCATTACTAAAACCCCATAACACCCAATCCAAACAGGCCGTTAGTTTTGTGACTTTATAATGTAAAGTATAAATATTTAGAATTATACCAAAGTTACAGTAGAAATTTATTGAAAGGTTAAATAAATGACAAAAAAGTAGATTTACTAATAAAAACTTTAATAAATAAAACATCCCAATAAGGTTGAGGCCTGGGGGGTATTTGTATTAGATTTCAATGTTAACACAAGTGGAAAATATGTTTCAAGTATTTGACATAGCGCAAAAAATAATAATGATCTTACAATAATATTCATGCCCAGGGGCTAGATCGTACATTTTCATGCTTTTGCCGGTCAACTTTTAAGTTTATGTTGTTGCAGACTTGCAGAACATACTCCAATCTTCATAATAACCATCATTCGTTTTATTACCCAATAATGTTATTCAGGGTTACCAAGTTGAGTTCATCCCACCTTCAGAATGTGTATACCCGCGGAGTCCTGCATTGGGCCTTGGATTGACTGCAGCTGTTGCTCTCATGATTGCCCAAATCATTGTCAATGTTGCATCTGGATGTATTTGTTGCAGAAAAGGTCCGCACCAGTCCAACGCTAAGTGGACCTTGGCACTTGTGTGCTTCTCTGTTTCCTGGTAATTCGGTGACTAACTTTTGCAATTACTCATAGTACCTGATTTTGATTTGCTCATTTTAACGAGCCTCATTAAATGACTCAACCAAACTTTTACCAAGCCGCCAATGATGTCAAGGATCAGCTAAGGCTATATATCTGGCTAATTGAATGCTAAACAAGAACACCCATGTTTCAAGATGGTTTGCTCCAACCAGCAATCATCTTGAAGAACATTGTTAAAGGAATTCATCTTAAATTGAATAAATATAAAAAACAGAATACAAACTTTGGAGTACAACGTAAGGTCTTGTAATAGGGGGGCTACTCCTTCAAGTTGCCCTTGAACCACCAACTTGGTTAGCTTAGTTCATCTACAGCCCTAAGCCATCAGAGCAATAACGTGATAGTCAAAACTTGTTTGTTTTTGCAGGTTTGTATCCGTCATTGCGTTTTTACTTCTTCTAACGGGGGCAGCACTGAATGAACGCCATGGTGACGATAACGTGTACTTTGGCAACCACTATTGCTATGTTGTTAAACCTGGGGTTTTTGCTGGAGCTGCTTACCTTTCGCTTGCGGGTGTTGCCCTTGGTATTGTCTATTATCTGACCTTGACTTCTGCTAAGAAGGGGAATGGTCAAGTTGTTCCACCCTCACTTCCACCTGTGGCTCCTTTACGTCAGGGTGGCATTGTAATGGGGCCAACTCAAGTCTCCACGTCAGCTGTTCCGGAACCAGTTTTTGTGCATGAAGATACCTATAAGAGGCGACAGCTTGTTTGATTGTTAATATAGTCAATAGGCTGCTGTTGTAACACTAGTTTGTCCCTAGAGTTTAGTGGGCTTTGTTTTTGGGCTAATTCTAATGCTACCCATGTGAGTTGTGCTCACATGGGCTTGGGTAGCATTCGATCCAATCTCACACATAATTGCATGAGAGAGCACGATCCAATGCCACATGCCCACAGATGCACTACTTGTATTGGTAGCCTGGAAAGACCCTATTTTTGGAGGAGGCACAGGGGAGAATAAAACATAATATGGTGATGAAACATGCTTCTATTTATTTAGTGTAATGTGTTTATGTTCTTCTATTGTGGTTTTGTTGGTATTTGGTATTTCGTTTTGTTATTTTATTTTACGGTTTTGGTTTGGTTCGGTTTAAAACAAGCAAGGGAAATGATTTCCAAATTAAAATCCAATCAATCTATGTTTGGCTTTAGTTGTTATGCCGTGGTACTGGCCCACTATGAACACCATGCTCCCAGTGGTAAAATTCGCATGAACAGTGATGCGGGTGAACAATGATTTCTTTCTTGTGCTTCAGTAGCAGGCAGGTGTAACTCTCGTTCAACAAAATGTATCTCATGTTGATAGGAAATGTAATTTGAGTCGAGTTGGAATGTAAGTTGTCTAAAATGAAATATAAGAAGAAAAAAACATTTATTTCAATGTAAACAATGAAAAATGATCCTAATTTCTCAATTACTTTTTGCAAAATAGTGAATATGTTTTATTTTTAATATTAGGGCTATAAAAATGATATAGTTAAAAAATCTTTCTTTGATCATTAGTAGGGGTTTATTTTGTGGTTTAACGCGTGTACATTAAGATGTAACTCGAGTACATTAAAATGTAAATCTAGAAAAGTTGAAATGTAAACTATCTTTCAATGTATATGTATGTTATAAACATTGATTTCAATGCAAAAAAATGATTTTAATTGCCCAATTACTTTTTGTAAATAGTGAATATGTTTTTTTTTTAATTTTAGGGCTATACAAAATGATGTAGTTAAAAAATCACTTTTTGGTCATTAACAGGGTTTATTTCGTGGTGCAACTCGCGTACATTGAGATGTAACTCATGCATAAACAGATGTAACTCGCGCATACGATGTAACTTCATATAATATCAATTGTAAACAATAAAAATAAGAAGCTTAATTATAAATATGTTTTACAATTATGGGTAAGTTTATTTTATTTGACCAATAAATGTATTTATGTTATTTTTGAAGAAAAAAATATGAAATAAATATGTTTTAAAGAAAAATCATTTTTTTATAAACATAGCTCAAAATTATAATCTCATGTTTTATCGGATTTAAATCCAAATAAAAACACTAAATGTCTTAAAAATGTTACAAACATCTAAAAAAGATAAAATAAAATATTATAGAAAAAAGTGTATGAATATGAAAAATATTTTATGTGGATTAAGAAAAATTTGTAATAAATTGGTAAAAAAAAAGTTATTTCGATTGCAATTTAATTGGTTAAAGATGAATATAAGAAAAATCAAAATTAGTATTTAATATTTAGATGAAGAGAAGAAAATAATTGAAGAAAACAAAAAATAAAAGAAAAATAAAGAGATAGTGGTCCAAAGAAATCTGGAGGGCTTGAATTCTTTGAAGGAAAAGAAAGGAAACGAACGTAGTGCTCCAAATAAAAACAGTGTCGTATTTGGACCGACATACCATGCGCATGGTATGCCGGTCATACGGTATAATTTGCACTGTGGCTCGGTTTAGATTTGTTTGGGTTCGGTTGAGACGTGGAGGTTTGGATTATATTGGTTTTATTGCCTATTTTTCATTTCAATGTGGCTGTATCCCATTTTAGTTTGAATAAGTAGTTTTTGAAGAACAATCATCAAACTAAAATCGAGTTTCATATGCAGGGATGGATTGGGGGGGACCGCCCCCCTTGGACATTCAATTTTTTTTACCATATATGTAATAGGCTAAAGGGTCAAATAGGCCCTTGAACTAACTTAAAGTGTTCAATTAGCCCTTTGTATAGGAGGTTCAGCCCAGCCATCGCCAATTGGGGAGGTTCCCGGCGGAATTTTTTGATGAATTTTTTTGAGCATCTTCTACATTAAGTCTAGTTTACCCATATCAAATTTCAGCTAAGAATTAAATCGGGAAGGCAGTCAAATGATTTTCCGAAATGTACTGCGCTCTTTAACTGCGCAGTTATCTTCAAAAAATCATTTGAGTGCCTTCCCGGTTGAATTTTTAGCTAAAATTTGGTATGCGTAAATTAGACCTAATGCACAAGATGCTCAAAAAATTTCATTAAAAAATTCCACCGCGAACCGCCCCAATGGGCGACGGCCAGACAGAACCTCCTATATAAGGGGCTAATTGAACACTTTAAGTTAGTTCAAGAACCTATTTGACCCTTTAGCCTATGTAATATTTTCATAAAACTTTCATAATTTAATTAGATTCGCCCCCCTTAGCTTTTAATTTTCAAAATTAATATATGTATATATATAGTCTTACATAATGTAATACTTAATTGGAGATTTAAAAGAAGAAACATCTAAAATAATTTACATAACTTAAACAAATAAACAATAGAGTAACTCGTTATTTAAGATTTAGGATACTTATTATATAAGAATTCCTAGTTTTGTAATGTTTAATTATCTTTATTAGATAACAAGTACTGGATTTCGTAAAACATATATCAAACAATATTAAATACCAGACACACTAATTACACAATTTTTAGATCACGTGAAATATAATGAATCCAAAATATAAATATTTATAGACATTAGATTACATAATTCATTTACTTCTTGCTTTCTAAAAATAATTTATTGCATGAATAATAAACTCTAAATTATTATAGAATTAATAAAAATATTAAAATATAATATGCACCATATATATATATGTGTGTGTGTGTGTGGTGCATATTATTCTAAAAATAACAATCTCATACATACTAGTATACTACTATTGTAATATTAAGAAAACTTCTCGATCATGAGTCATGACTCACGAACACCCTCCTTGGTGGACAAAAATTACAATTCAATAACTGATTCATGAGGTTAAACAATGTAGAAGTTATTAAAAATGTATCGGTTGATGTCTTTGTCATCGTCTAAACTTAGAATGTAATAGATTTAAATGTCGTTCGGGATATGCATGTATTAATGTCATTTTTTGAATAAAAATAACCGCATAGCCCTACAGTAGCGAAAAAATTTCGCCCCGCTATACTAGGGAAAAAAATTTCACCCCGCTACACTAACAAAAAAAAAAATTCACCCCCTACACTAACGAAAAATTTCGCTTCCTTGACTCAGAATCCTGTATCCGTCCCTGTTCATATGTTTGATCAAACCATACAGACCCCCCCCCCCCCCACTCCGTAACTGATTTGCGTTTTGGTTCAGGCAAGTTACGATAAGTTCTGATCAAGCTAATGGTGATGAAAACATTTGTTTGCTTTATCACTATTTTAAGTAAACTTAATGTTTCTCAAATCAAATGAGTTCGTATTTATAGTTTATCTTTGGTCGCAGTTAAAAAAAAATATACACTTTAGTTGAAATCATAATTTGCATTTATTTTTGGGAAAAGGGGCAAATAAGCCCCCGAACTTACCGAAAAAGTGCAAATAAGCCCTTTTATAGGAAGCTTTGTCCGGCCGTCGCCATTTGAGACGTTCCCAGTGGAATATTTTGATGAATTTTTTTTAGCATCTTCGTCATTAAGTCTAGTTTACCCATACCAAATTTCAGCTAAAAGTTCAACTGGAAAGGCAGTCAAATAAATGTTTGAAGATAACTGAGCGGTTAAACAGCGCAGTATAATTCAGAAAATCATTTGGCTGCCTTCCCGGTTAAATTTTTAGCTAAAATTCGGTATGGGTAAACTAGACTTAGTAAAGAAGATGCTCAAAAAAATTCATAAAAAAACTCTAACTGGAACCGCCCCAAATGACGACGACCGGGCAGAGCTTCCTATAAAAGGGCTTATTTGCACCTTTTCGGTTAGTTCGAGGGCTTATTTGCACCTTTTCCCTTTATTTTTCCCTGGAAAAAAAAATCAAACACCTAGTTGTGTCCTACTAGTAGTATATATACAAACTCGATTGAATTTGTATTCGACTATCATTCATGCAACATAAGAAGAAACTAGTCAAGATGTGTTTCACTTAATTATTGCACCCTGCAAATGTGTATAATTAAAAAATTAGAACAAAATTTATGTTGAATACGTATTCCCATTTGTAATTAATTCCTTACCTTTGAAAACAACCTCTATTTTTATTGCTTATTGAAAACGAACCATAAATGAAGCGATCTTTTGAATTCACAAAAACAGCGCGATTCATCTTCTTCCCGCATTCTGCGATGGTAAACCGCCTAGCGACAACCAAACATTCAAATTTGAATCTCCACTCTAATGGCTACGGCTACCGCTATATATACCTCTGGACACTTCCGCCTATCTACGCCAAACTGCCATCGCCATTTTCTTACCATATCGCATACATCGATCTCACCCTAGCCTTTATCAGCCATGGATTTCCGAAGTCTCACCAGGAGAGAACTACAGTCTTTGTGCAAGAAGAATAAAATTCCGGCGAATAGGTCCAATGTTGCCATGGCTGACGCTCTCAAAGCTCTAAAACTCGTAAGATTTCAAGCACTCAACACTCAGGCCATTAGTTTTTGTGATTCCGGTGTTTTTAATTGTTTCCTCTTTTGATATTTTTAACTTATTTGAAACCAATGTAAATAAACGAGGTTTTGAGTTGTTTCTGAATCAATGATCAGTTTTCTGGAATTGCGATCAGAGATTTATACATGTCAATCGAGTGAGGGTATTCCAAAATTTTCATTTCATTTTTATTTAGAGTATGTGATTAAGCTTCTTTGAATTATAGAATTGGATTTAACATTTTGGCTCGCTGCACTTTCAATCTGGAAGGATGGCGTTCTATTCCACCTAACATTTTTGGAGATTTTACCGACTTTTCATCAATGCATTCTCCAGGTTGAAGGTATTGAAGATTTTCTGAAACCATTGGAATCTGAAAGTGGAATTTCCACGGTTGAGTCACCCCAGAAGTCAGATATAACCACCCAAGATGTTCCTCTCTCTTGTGGTAGGACACCAACGTGGCAGAAGGTAAAAAATGGATCTGAAAATTCTGCCGTTCTCTACTCAAGGAGAAGAATAATTGCCAGAAATGTAAAGGGTAGTACTGATGAAGGAAAGGGTGGTGATTTTCCCAAGACACCAAGTACTATGCTGACTAATCAAAAAGGGGAACTGAAAGAGATGAACACTTCAGCTAGC